TGTCCTGACGCAAAGCCGGTAAGAGCTAGGATGCTGAAATTTTCACAGTGGTTACCTTATGTGATGAAGGTGCACGTTAAGACGGGGTTCCGGAAATTCCATTCTCAAGTATGGAAAATCGCGAAAAAAGAAATACGATTGAAAGATTTTTGGGCGAAGTATTAAGTGGTGTCCGATAATTATATATATATATATATAAATATATCTGCCTACATTTCTCTCTATCTATCTATCCATTTATCCATCTATCTATCTAAGTATAAACATATGCATTGCATGTGTTTGCGCTGTTTTGCTTAATGACTAAATTTAATATTTAAGTTTTGAATCGCTTAACAATTAATGGGCTATAGTTGTTGTCGAGAGTTGCAGCTGACGCTGACGCAGACGCTGCCGCGGATGCTGACGTTATGAGCTTTGCCTTTGCCCCTCGTTTGAGATCGGGAAACCAGTTAGTTATTACCTGTCACAGGGTTCGTCTGGAGTTCAGCTTTGCCTTTAAGTACTAAAAACTAAAACTGAAACTGAAAATGAAACTCAAGCCGAGACCGTGTCCACTGTCTCTGGCATATCTTTGCCGCGGGCCACTCTGCCGGCATATTTCTGCACTGACTCATGTCCGGCATCCTTGACGCGCTGCCCCGGCGCATTCGTGACTGTACAAGCGGTAATTTGCCTGAATATTCGGTTCGGTATCGGTGTGCATGGGTTCGAGTTCAGTCTGGTCTGGGATTTGCCTAGCAGTCATTAGCCTTTTGGCAGCGCACCAGTTCCTGGAAACTTCTCACTCTCGATGATGCTGCTGCTGTTGCTGCTGACACCAGCCTTTGCCTCAACCTCTGCCTCAGCCTCTGCCTCTGCCACCGCCTCTTCCTTGGGTATGGATCTGTGTGTCTGGGCCAATGACCGCTTCCAAGGCCGCGCACAGTGCACAGTTTTCCTGTTCTCATTTTTCACGTGCCTGCCGCGTGCGTGTGTGATCCTTAAGTGGCCAACCTATATACAAGTGCATCCAACACACACACACACACACACACACACACACACACACACAGTTGTTTGTTGTCCTGCGCTGGGGCGGGTGCATTGACCCAACGGCCATTGTCTTAAGTGCTTTGTTTTTTTTTGCTTTCGATTTCCTAGAGGCTGCCTGCAACATGATGCATCCTAGCGCTGCAGCTGTTGCTCGAGTTGTTGTCAGTTCAATGACTTAGTCGACCGAATAGCTGCTTCTTAGTTGGACATGTGCGGCTGTACAACAACACTTGCCGCTGCTGCTGCTGCTGCTGCTGCTGCTGCTGCTGCTGCTGCTGCTGCTGCTGCTGCTGTTGCCATGCATTCTCCGCATTCTCTGCTCTCAACTGGATTAACTCCTTGCGGCATCCTACTGAGTATTTAGCTTTAGTACCCTCTGTTGTTGCTCACTTTGCATACACACATTTTTTGGCCACAGCCTTGAATTACGTAGCCTCACATTTGGCATTTGACTTTCTTTTTGTTACTTTTTACCTTATTGTTGCTTAATTCTGATTTTATTGCTGTTGCCGGGGCGGCATCCGTCTGTCGTATATCTATTTATTGTGGCCTGGACACGAGCTGGAGCTGGAGCTGGATGTGAGTTTGGGATGCCCCGTTTGTGCACTTGGCACGAGAGAAAAAGAGAGCGAATTATAGAGTAAGAGAGAGAGAGAGGAAGAGAGAGAACCAGCTAGAGAGATACTGATGTTGATTGCCGATTGCTGATGCTTACTAATTATCAAAATTGAATTGAATTTAAGTAGATGCAAATTAGTTCATTGCCCGCTAATGCCAACAAAACGAGTAGGAATGCTCTAGAACCAGCTGCTCGACTATATGTTGCCCTGTAATACGCATGGTAAGCATCGAATGTAAGTATATAAATACAAATAAAGTTTCTCTCTGCAAGAGCGAAACATATTCAAATCAATTGAAATGCTGACTTAGTAGATCAGGTATATGCATATATATATGTAGACACTTTAGAGCTGGCGGGCATCTGTCATTGTCTTCTTCGTAGTCCCTTAAGCCCGTTTCTTGTAGCTACAGGGCATTCGATAGTAAAATAAAGCTACGGCATCTGTTTGAACATTAACAAAAACCGCAAAAATTGTACATAATCGGTTCGCATTATGCATAAATACTTGCTTGTGGTTAATTGCCTTTACAGATTGTGAGAATCAAAAAAAAAAATAAAAGACGTCATTTTGCGATCGAGTATTTGCAGAATTGTTGGTTAAAAGTGTCTATATAGAGCATTTACCAAGGGTTCAAGGGTAAATGGGCAACACATAAAAGAAGAGGAAAAATGAAAATAGAAAATGGAAACATGGAAATACAAATGTTTGGTGCGAAAATGAAGGCTACAAAATTAATGAATATGATATAATGAAATAAGTAGAAGAGTGTTGCAGGGATATTCAATGTAAGTAGCTTACAACTCTCAAGCAAACCTATTGTACACATACAAACCATATAGCATGTTATTATTAAAAACTTATTTCCAAAGATATTTTTTAACATATTTGTGTATTCAAAGGGAATTCGAAACAGAAATAAACTCTCTGAAGCAGAAAAAGGCCACTTGTTTTTACTTTCTTAATAAGTACTATCTCGCCTCTTTGGATTTGGGATACGTAGCGAGACTGATTTTTAATATGGAATACATATCACAGTTTCCTGATAATTGCATGAATGCATGGCTGGGATCGACAAGATTCCTTCTAAATAAAACATAGAAAATTGAGTATCTCAATCCATTCAGAATGCCAGCTCCCATACAGCCTAACATTTGATTGCTTGTGAAAAATTCTAAAACAAACATGTGAAACTCTGCCCTTAGAGTAAATAATAATAATAATAATTTATAAGACTTTTGATACATAGATATAATAAATAGTGAAGCATATTGCGAGATTTCATTATTTATTTGATACATATCGAAATTTCTTGGCCACCAGCGACGTCTGCTTCTGGTTCCGTCTCTGTTATTTTTTTTCTTGATCAGCTTCTGTCGAGGGTCAAATCTTGTCCTTAAGCCCAAAAACCGGCATGGTCTTCGGCTGTTGGTAAACAAGCAACTCATTGAATAAATCGAAAGGCAACGAAACGAAATCGAAAGCCGCAGAAACTTCTGCAGAATTGATTACAAATGCATTTGAATTTAAATTTGAAATCAAATATCGAGACCTTTTTTTTTTTTCTTCTTAAAAACAGAAATGTTTTTTGTGTGTATTTATCTCAGCTTGTTTATTTCTTTTGTCAGCTTCTTGTTCATTGTGGATTGTTAATAACATTTTTGAACTTGAATGCATTGCCAATGTCTGACGTCATTCAAATATTTGAAACAATGCCCCGAAAGCGGGCCCCGATATCATGTCTGGAGAACAGCAACAGCAATAAAATAACAAACATATATGCGTGCATACATGTAAATGTATGTGTAAACAGATATCAAATAATAAACAAATAATAATTAAATAATTCAATATAAGTATCTTTGATATATATACATATATATTGTATTTTTTTTCTGGCTGCAGCTCTGCTTAGATCACTTTGTGAAGGCTGAGCAAAGTGACCCCAAATGCAAATTTTCCCATTGAATTTTTGTTTGTATTGTTTTTAACGATCTTCAGATCTTCGAAAGCTTCAGATCCAAGCCAAATGCTGTCCACTGCAACTGCTTCCGCTTCTGCCGAATGTTACATATATCTATATAAAGACGAGCCAAGCGATGTTCAAAATGCAAAGGTTGCAACACGCCAAGTTTTGTGCAGTGCAGCAGACCGGACAGATTTTCAGGTGAGTTAGCTGAGGATAATTCCCTAGGAATATTATAATTAACTGCAAGCAGCAGCTGACGCATAGGCATATAGGTATGCATGCATACGCTGTTTCATATGCAAAAAAATTAAGGCATTGGCTTAATCGGTAATCTAATCGCTGGCCATATTCCGCTTATCAATCAAACGCTGATAAGCCCTACAAGTACACCTGCCCGAACGGGGGCCAGACTGCCGACTGCCGACGGCCGACCGTCCATAGCCGACAACCGTGTGCCGACTGTCGAGTGTCGACCGCCGACGCCGACTGCCGAGTGCCGATCGCCGAGTGCCAAGCGTCTGTTTGCTCTTGAGCTTGGCTTGCGGTCTAAAAACATAAACAGAGAGCGCACGCGGCGCTGTGCGAGATGCACTCAAAACAAAGCCGACAACGCATTGAGCGGTTGCTTGAGCTCAAACATGTTCGAACGATCACGCTGGCAGTGGCAACATGTTGGTAGCGCGCGCCGAAATTGAGTGAAAAATGGAGACTGCGCTGCGCTGCTGATTGGAAACTTGTTGATTTAGCGCTGTCAGCATTTAGGCAAGCGGCTAACGGGGCGGCTGCTAGCTGCGGGCGAATCGGTGACGCTGGAGGCAGCGACAGCACCAGCAGCGGCGGCGACAGCGGCAGACTGATATGAGCGCATCAAACAGAGACCGAGACCGAAACTGAGACGCAGACGGAGACGGAGACGAAGTGGTAGAGGTAGAGGAAGAGGGAGAGGGAGACGAAGACGCAGACGAAGACTGATATGAGCGAGTGCTTGTAGCGCCGGCAGAGACGGCAGCGTCGGCGGCAAACGATGGCAGCAGCGCCCCAGCCGCAGTAGCAGCAACAGCAACAGCAACAGCAACAGCAGCCGCTGCCCAGCTTTTGACTATCAGATTCTGTCCCAGAGCGGGCCACAGTCAGAGTCAGAGTCAGAGTCAGAGCCAAAGCTGCGCTGCCCGCTCTGCCCAAGCGAGCAGCTCAAAAACGTTGCAGACGACGACGTCGTATCGGTCGTCGTCGTCGTCGTCGTCGTCGTCGTCGCCGTCGCCGTCGGCTTTAGCTGTCGCTGTCGCTGTGGCTCTGGCTCTGGCTCTGGGAGTGTGCGCGCGCTTGAAGCGGCCGAGCCGCGATTGCCGTCGATCACTCGTTCGCGTTCGGCGCTGCTCTGCGAAGCGGCGGCCGAGTTGTTATAAAAGTGGCAAGGACATACGCTCGAGCCATTAGTCGAAAACTATAAACGCTCGACGCGAAATCGTCTCCGGGTCTCTCCGCCTACTTCTTCGACTCGAGCACGCAACTATTTTTTTTTTAAGTACATCTGCCGCTCGATACGTTTAAATGTTAACAAACCAAAAACAATTTAAGGCAGTTTTTAAATAAAGGAAAAATAATTAAATCAAAGGAATTCAAGTCGAAATATTCAACAATTTTTTTTCCGTTTCCTGCGCCACAGACACTAACAAAAAGAGCATTTTTTTTTTCGTCGCAAGTAAAAGCAAAAGTGACAACAAATGGCTCAGCAGTGCAGCAAATAAATTAATAAAAAACAAAAACTCAAACAGCAGCAAAACACACACAGACACAAACACACACAGAGACAACTGCAAGCATCCTGTGTGCGGCCCGCCTTCAGTCGAACCTCAAAGTTCTGTTGACAAATCGGAAAAAATACCCCCAAAAAGCGGCAACATGCTGGCCGACTCGTATCTGATAAAGTTTGTGCTGCGCCAGCTGCAGATGGAGCAGCAGGACGCACAGCATCTGCTGCTGGTCTTCCTCAGCTTCCTGACGCTGATCAGCCTGCTGCAGTGGCTGCTGCGACACTATCGCGAGCTGCGCAAGCTGCCGCCCGGCCCCTGGGGCCTGCCGGTCATCGGCTATCTGCTCTTCATGGGCAACGAGAAGCACACACGCTTCATGGAACTGGCCACCAGATACGGTTCGCTCTTCTCCACCCGCCTCGGCAGCCAGCTGACCGTCGTCATGAGCGACTACAAGATGATACGCGAATGCTTTCGCCGCGAGGAGTTCACAGGACGACCGGATACGCCGTTCATGCAAACGCTCAATGGATATGGTAAGTGAAAAACCGACAAAAAAAAAACGTTAGTCAACTTTTCCAGTGTTAATTGAAAATGAAGAAAACGAGGCTTAAACGAAAAGTGAGAGAACGAAGCAAACGTATTGCGCTTTAAATTGATTTGTGCTTTTTATTTTCATAAGTGGAAAACGCTTGAGGCCAGGCTTTATACTACTTATATGCGTATATAGAAATATATATATGTATATATATATATATATATGCACATATTTGCACTTTGAAAAGATTTTAGCACTATCTCAGTTTTCTTTTTGTGCTTTTTTTTTATTGGCTTTTACTATTAGTAGTATTATTTTTCGAGTACTTTGGAATTTTACAACTCGGAATTCGATTTCAATTTTGTTGAAACAGCACAAAAATTTCAATAAACATTACCTGATAAGCGAGCGTTACGCGCTATATTTCTATATATAGTAATACTGTAATGCATTACGGCTTAAAAAAAAATATTACAAAAAAAAAAAAAAAAAAAAAAAAAACACTTTAAACAAAATGTTTAAGGAGAGAGACGAGCAAAAACAAACACAATAGCTGGGCATTTCTTTCTGTTGGCCACTTTTTACTTAATATCGTATAATTTTTTATATTTTTGTTTAACGGCTGCCTTTGGCCTGGCCATAAGCCGCTCAATGATAACAGCTTGGCAAAAACAAAAAACAAAAAATCAAAAATAAAATTCCACCATTTCTTGTTGGGGGATTTCATTTCTGGTATTTCGCTTCAACAATTTGCCAAAAAAAAAAAAAAAGAAGAGAAAAAAAGTGGGCCAAATCAACGTGCGCGAAGCCTACCTCAATTAAATGAAAATAAAACAAACTACATGAACGAGAAGCGAGAAGCGGAGAATTAAGAGAGAAGTAAGAGAATTACAAAAGCAGTACAAAATAACAATTAAAATTTCATTAAGTGCGTTGGCTAAGTGCCCACTATACATATACCTATATATATATAGATATATATATATATATATGTAAAGCACATGTGTATCCGTATAGGTAGCTTATAGCTTATGCGAATTGCTTTCGATTTAGTGTGGCATTATCATAACGTACCTTAACGTATCGACCACGTCTTGCTTCGCTTGCAGGCATCATCAATAGCACCGGCAAACTGTGGAAGGATCAGCGTCGCTTTCTGCACGACAAGCTGCGCCAGTTCGGGATGACCTACATGGGCAATGGCAAGCAGCAGATGCAGAAGCGTATTATGGTGAGTACTTGAGAGCGCTCCATTCGAGATATTATTTATATATATTTACACCTGTCCCTCTCTTCCTTTCTCTTTGTCTCTCTCTCTCTCTCTCTCTCACTCTCTGTGTGTAGACGGAGGTGCACGAGTTCATCGGGCATTTGCATGCGAGCGATGGGCAGCCAATTGACTTGTCGCCGGTCATCTCGGTGGCGGTCAGCAATGTGATCTGCAGTTTGATGATGTCGACGCGCTTCAGCATCGATGACCCAAAGTTTAGGCGCTTCAATTTCCTGATCGAGGAGGGCATGAGGCTGTTTGGCGAGATCCATACCGTTGACTATATACCGACGCTGCAGTGCTTCCCGAGCATCTCGACGGCCAAAAACAAGATAGCCGAGAATCGTGCCGAGATGCAGAAGTTCTATCAGGATGTGATTGATGAGCACAAGCGCAGCTTTGATCCCAGCAATGTGCGCGATCTGGTCGATTATTATCTGTGCGAAATCGAGAAGGCCAAGGCCGATGGCACCGATGCGGAGCTCTTCGATGGCAAGAATCATGGTGAGTTGACATCCTTCAGCCAGTCCGGCTGTCAACGACTTAACAACTTCTTGTTTAACTAAATGTTTTCGTTTTGTTTTTGTTTTTTTTTTATTTTGTTTTTGATCTGTGCAGAGGAGCAGCTCGTACAGGTGATCATCGATCTGTTCTCGGCGGGCATGGAGACCATTAAGACAACCCTGCTGTGGATAAATGTGTTCATGCTGCGCAATCCCAAGGAGATGCGACGCGTTCAGGATGAGCTCGATCAGGTTGTTGGTCGCCATCGATTGCCCACAATTGAGGATCTGCAATATTTGCCCGTCACCGAGTCAACGATACTCGAATCTATGCGCCGCTCCAGCATTGTTCCATTGGCCACCACGCATTCTCCCACAAGGTAAGCATCAATAAACCATTGTGAACTATCGGCAATCGGCAATCGGCAATCAGCAATTACCAATTGGCAATATTGGCAGTTGGCAGTTGGCAATCGGTTATCAGTTATCAGCTATCAGCTATCAGTTGTGGCCACGCCCCTTAGAGCGCATTGCTTACGCATTCGTTCGATTAGTGCGCACATCGAAATGACGACAACGAGGTCCATGCCACGCGTTCATTCACACCACGCCTGGACAATGGCACGAGATTGCACATTCATTGTCGCAAGGCTAGGGTGCGGTGGGGTGTGCTGAGGTGGGGTACTGAGTTCTCTCAAATACAAATCAAATGGCACTGGCACTGGCTAACTGGGAACTGCATAGGGGAAACTGGCTTTCATTCGATCTCTCCCCAGGCCCCAACAGCCCGTTGCCTCTGCGGTTCTGCTTGGTTTTCAGTTTCATTGGAAGCGCTTCCTTTGCGTCGCAGCTTGGCCCAGTTTCGGTTCTACGCACTTCACTTGATACCGCTGATTAGAGGCTTGTCAGCTGATAACCGAGCCAGCGCCACAAATCAATAAGAAAAGAAAAAAAAACTGCAGCAGCAGCAGCAAACAGCTCCACTCGCTTGAAACACTTGACTAACCCAGCTTCTCTTCCGTTCCTCTCCTCTCTCTCTCCCCTCTGCCACACAACATTGCTATCGCCTCGCAGAGATGTGGAACTGAATGGCTATACCATACCGGCCGGCTCGCACGTCATACCGCTCATCAACAGCGTCCACATGGATCCCAATCTATGGGACAAGCCCGAGGAGTTCCGTCCGTCGCGCTTCATCGATACGGAGGGCAAGGTGCGCAAGCCGGAATACTTTATTCCGTTCGGCGTCGGGCGGCGCATGTGCCTGGGCGATGTGCTGGCTCGCATGGAGCTGTTCCTGTTCTTCGCCTCGTTCATGCACTGCTTTGACATCGCGCTGCCCGAGGGCCAGCCGCTGCCCAGCCTCAAGGGCAATGTGGGCGCCACCATTACGCCCGAGTCGTTCAAGGTCTGCCTGAAGCGCCGTCCACTGGCACCCACCGCCAACGAGCCGCATCAGGTGCGCAACGTCGGCTCCAACTGAGCGCCGCTCCGGGCACACACCCACAGAGCACGGTTTTGTTCCTAGACACGTTCTTTTTTTTTTATTATTATTATTATTATTATTATTATATTTTAATAGCTTTTAAGTTGACAAAAATTATGAATTAGACAAATCGCGCATTAAGTTTGAGTTTAAGCTAGGTTTTAGGTTCAAAGTTTTCAAAGGCTAACAACAACAAGAAGAGCCTGTCAGCAACAGACAGATGTAGTATATATAAATTAATTCAACACACATACATGTGTGTATTTAGTTATGTTATGAAGCAAACAAATTCTATTCTTTCAACCCCAAGAAGCTGTGTTCAGTTAATTAATATTTTAATTTGTAATCGATTAATTAGCAATTTAATTAGACAACTTGTAATATTGTGTTTATAAACATGCATATACATATATATGTATATATATATATATATATATATATATATATAAATATGAGAATTTTTTTGTCTTAGCCTTAATTAGCTAGTTGATGTTTTTGTTAATTTCATATTTAGGCTTAAGACAACAAACAACAAAACAAACTGTGGTTTAGTTTTATGCACACAACACACAAAATATAGGCAAAAACAATTTCTGAAATTCATATAATAAACGAATTAATAAAAGAAAACATTTGATTTGTTTTTAATATGCGTAAAAAAGGTAAAAGAGAGCATGCGCTTAAAAAGTTTTATATATTTTTTTCATTTATATTTATATTTGTTGACAATGAAATATAAAAAAAAAAAAATATATATATATAATTAAAAAAAAAAACTGCAAAATATTAAAAGAATTTTACAAACACCGCTTGATACAAAAAAATAATTTAAATGAATATAAAAATAACTTTAGGCCAATTAATATTTTTTTTAAAGTGTTGTTAATTTTATATAAAGGCTATTATTTATTTAAACAAAAAAATTTTAAAAATAACTAGCTAAATTGTTAATTTGCAAAGTAAGATTTATATAAAAAAAAAAAAAAAAAAACACCTTAAAAAGAAAATGAAATGCAAATAAATGAAAATTCAAAGAGAAGTAGCCCAAAATCTAATCGTTTTTCTGCAGCTGCTCCAATTTGCTGAAGCGCAGCTTGTAGTTCGCCGGCGCCAAAGTGATGCCGCACTCGCCGGCCATGTCCACGTTGCCCTCCTCGCCGGCGGGTAGCTGGACGTGAAAACGCCGTAGAATGCGCCCGGTGAAGAGGGTGAGCATCATGCGAGCAAGCTCATCGCCAGGACACATGCGCTTGCCCGTCTGGAAGGGTATGAACTGTGCCGGCGCCGCGTACTCGCCGCTGGCATTGAGAAAGCGCTCCGGACGAAACTTCTCGGGCGCCGGCCAGACCTCCGGATTCATGTGTATGGCCCACTGCAGTATGAGTATCATGCTGCCCTTCTCCAAGCGATAGTCGCCCACAATTGTGGTCTCATCGACGCCGTGCGGTATGCCCAGCGGCACCACAGACCTGATGCGCTGCACCTCGGACAGGCATGCGCGCAGATACGCGATCGGTTCGAGCTCGGCCAGCGTGGGCGTTTCACTGAGCTGCAGCAGTTCCGCCTGTAGACGCTTCTGGCAGCGCTGCTCGCGCGCCATATAGAGCAGGAACCAGCGTAGTGTGGCCAGCGCTGTATCGACGCCGGCGCCGAAGAGATCGGCCAGCAGATGACGCAGCTGCTCATCGCAATAGAGCTGCGAGAATGGCTGGCGTTCGCCCAGAAAATGCTCCAGGATGCTGTGCGGCGGCAGCGGCTGCTGCTGCTTTTGCTGCTGCTGCTCCAGCTGCAGCTCCAGCTGCTTCTCGCAGCGCTCTACAATGCGATCGTAAAGCTGATGGGTCTTGGCCTTGCCGTCCAGCAGAAAGCGAATGCTGCGTTTGTTGCCCGGCAAATGGCGCAGCCAGGGCAAAAAGTTGACCATGCCCGAGACACCGATCAGCTTGACGCCCTCCTCCTGCAGCTGCTGCAGATACAGCCAGTTGGGATCTTGGCGCTCGTAGGTTTCACCAAAGACCAGATCGTTGATGATGTTGCCCAGCGTGTGCTGCAGCGCGGGTCGCGGGTCCAGCACATGGGCTTCCTGCGCTTCCGTCTCGTACGACTGCGGAAAGAACGTAAGCGGGACACAAGATGCCAGTCAGAACGGTAGAGCGAGAACACAGTGAAAATGGCAAAAGCGAAAGGTGGAAAACAAAAGAAATAAAAGCTGAGAAAAAAAATTGCAAAGCAAAGCAGCAAAAACATGCGGCAACAGAAAAAAACACACACACACGCACACACACACACAAAAACACAACAACAAAAAATTAGCAAATTTTAAATTTATGCGTCGTTGTCGCCGTCGTCGTCGTCGTCGACAACGGCTGCGACAGCGGCAGCGGCAGCGACAGCGACAGCAGCACAAAACACACAGCGGACGTCGAGTGATGACCACAACGGAAAGTGAATGTCCACTAACAGAGACGACGACAGCGACGGCGACGACGGCGATGACGCGTAGGACCTTCACTTTCATGATTCTTGGAATTTCTCGCGCCGGCCAGTTGGCCAATTAGTCAGAGACTCCACCACGCCACACAGACTCAGCGCGTCTCTTGCGCGACTCACCTGGACGCACTCGTCGACGCCGCGACCGATGCGCTGCTCCAGCTGTGCACGCGTCTCGCACTGTTTGCGCGTCATGCCCAGCGCCTTAAGCCACTCGATAAGCTGGCGACGCTGGTATTTCCAGATGTCCCCGCCAGCGCCAATGATGCCTGCACAAATAAAAAGAAATAAAAAAAATAAAAAAAAAAAAAAACAGAAAAAGTTGCTGTCTTAAGTCATTCGTTTCTATACGCCGTCTCTGTCGCACATACTCACCGTAGCCACCCATGATGCCGTGCGTCAAATAGAGCGGTGCACGCGCCGTTAGCTCCTCGTGGCGCAGGAACTCGCGCACCAGCACCGCATCAGAAAGCACCACCGTACGCACCGAGCCCATGCTCAGCTGATAGATGCCGCCATAGCGTTTGGCCAGAGCCTGCAGCGACTTGTGCGGTGCCCGCCTGTCCAGGAACGGTAAATAGCCCAGCAGCGGCAGGCCCCACGGTCCAGGCGGCATGCGACCAAACAGACGCGCATTCCGACGATGACAAATCAAAGAGACGATAATTACGATAATGCCCAGCAGCACCCCAAACACAATGATCTCCATGCGAACGGACTTATCCGTGCTATTTTCACTCATATTTCAGTTGTTTTTTTTTTTTTTTTGTGTTTCAGTGGCAATGCGCAGGTAAGTTTATCCAGTTTAGGTACTTCTGCTGCTGCTTCTGCTTTTTCTCCGCCCAGTGGGTACACGTCCGTTCGGCCAGGCGGTTCTTCAATTACTGGAATTTCTATGGATTTTCGAAACGTGTCGGGAGCGTAATGTAATGCAAACGGCGAAAAACAACAGAGGCAAACGACAGACAGCAGGAACAGCCGAAGGCCACACAATTTAAGTGCATACATATATATAACTACATGCATAAATATATACACAAATACACACACACACACACACGCATGCCTATCCCTCTTCCTCTACCTATGCCTTAAGTATATACAAGAAGGTTCGCTTCTTCCTTGGCTCACGTAGCTAAAATTTGAAATTGAAACATTGCCGGTAACTGGAAAATGCTATGTGCATATATTTGCCCAGATACACACACACACACACACACACAGCACACACAGGCACACACACTTGCGCATTTGTAATGGGAACCATTGAGGCAATGGTTCGATTGCCTAACTCTGGATCTTTTACATATTAAATATACCATATCCTTGCAGCGGGTATTTTAAATTTCGTATGAAACATGAAACACGTTGCTTCAATTTCCATAAAATACAAAATACATCGAAACGAAAATATTGTATAAGCACACATAAAATTATTATACCCGATATATAATTATATTTTTTAAAATTAAAACCAAAATTAAAATACATGAATTAATATAATTATTAATTGATATAATACAAATTAAAAATTAAAAAAATTAATGTTAAAGCTGAATTGAAATTTGATGTGAGATATTAAAATTAAAATAAAAATTGAGGCATAAAATAAAATAATTAAAAATTAAAGTTAAAAATGAAAGTAAACAATGAAAATAGAAATTTAAATAAATTTATTTTATTCTAGGCAGCCCATTAAAAACATTTTCTCATAAATTTATTTTATATTAATTTCAATTAAATTAAATCAATAAAGTTCATATAAAAATAAATTATTTTTAATAAGACTCATCATTAAATGAATTCAATTATTGTAAAGAAATTGAATTGTTATTTACTTTAAATACATACAATTCTTAGCAATATGTTAGGGTATTTATTCTGCTGCTTTTCGTACAATATTTTTCGCTTGTTTTACATTTATTTTTGCTGTTTTTGTATTTTGGTTATTTTGTTTTGATTTTCATATCATTTTTGAAGCAAATTTTTGGGTTTTTTCTTGTTGTTTTATTTGTGTGTGTGTGTGTTTTTTTAATTGAATTTGATACGAGTTGCTTATATACACTTACTCAGGTATATGGGAAAAACCATTGACTACTGAGTAAAATCTGTTGGGGTAATTTCTAGTGTGCCTAAGATGCACATAAAGAAAACACACGTAGTGGTTCGGTTAAATGTTTAATGGAAACTTCAAAGCATGAGTACAAAAATCTGAACAAGTACTCAATTACAGAATGAGTACTATGCTGATACAATGTTGCCAGATTATAAAGAAGCTTAACAGCTTATTGTCACTATTTTAACACTTCTTCTTAAGCTAATTATAATCAGTTGCAAAATAACAAATTTAATTCAATCCAAGTGTTTTTACAAAGCCTACGTGCTTTTGCTTACTTAAACATTTTGTTAGTATATCTGCAACATTATTATTTGTAGGTACGTATTCTAATGCAATATCATTACATTGTACCTTTTCACGTATAAAATGATACCTTATGTCTATGTGCTTAGTGCGCTTATGATGGACTGGATTTTGCGCAATATGTTGCGCGCTTAGGTTGTCGCCACATATAGTCAACGGCTCTGTATCCTTTGACCATCCCATCTCACTAAGTAGCCTGCGTAGATAAACTGCTTCTTTGGCAGCCATGGACAAAGAAATATATTCTGCTTCAGTGCTGCTCAATGCGACAACGCTTTGCTTTGATGAAGTCCAAGAGAACGCACTGCCTGCCAGGAAAAATGCGTAGCCACTATAGGATCTCCTGTCCAGCCGATCGTTGCCCCAATCTGCATCTGCATAGCCTTTTAGTGGTTTGCCATTTTTACGGTATACTAATTTCATATTCTTTGTACCCGCAAGATATCTTAGAATGTGCTTTGCTGCAGACTGGTGTTCTCC